TCTGTCTTATGGAACCCAGTAACTCTCAGTCAGTGTACCCCAGTAAGGGTGAGCAGATAGTCTTCCTTGTTTGGCTTGTGGGAATGTTTTGGGGGTTCCATTGAGGGTTCCTATAGATTCTTTCTAAGCCCTTCTCCCTGCAAAATATTTCCCAAAACCATTCAGCTTTCTAGACAGGATCCCAGTAAGTTCAAGCTCAAGGATGGCTAAAGGTCACAGTAAGTTACTTTTGTCAATTGACTCCATTAGTTCACCTTTTGCACTTGAGAGGTAAAGCCCAGACTGAAGGTTGAAGGTTGATGCCCCTCTTCAGATAGGTACTATAAATATACTAATGCTATCCCTGAAAAGATGCATTTGTACTAATATATATATATATATGATTTTATATATATATAGTTTTTCTTTCTTTGTGTTTGTGTACAGTTATATATTAATTCATACATATGGGAGGAGAGGTATAGTACAGGAACAGGCAGGATTTGTGTGTTCATGTGTATATATTTATAATATGTATATTTTATATGTATATATATATATAGCCTCTGTCCTTGTTTATATCATTACAACAAATGTACCTCCGACCAGCGAGGAGTACCTGTCAGTGGTAAATGGAGAGAAGCCCCATATTGACAGTTTTCTTTGTCTCTTAACATAGGCAAGGGTGAAATAGTCTGTGAAGTGAATGGGTCCAGTGAGAATCCATCCATCTCCAGTCTACCAAAGAGAGACTCTTGGTTTCCAGTGCTGTGTGCCAGCTTGCCTCTTCTCCAGAGGTCAAGGAACCTAGAGCAGAGAGGTTCCATCCATGCTGTTGGTTTGAGATATGGCTTTTCTACTATATGGAGACAGGGCACACAAGAATTCTGTCTTCTAGGAGAACGCTGACCACCAGGAACACAAAGTAGAGACCAAACATGATGAAGCCCAACACTTTGTTCATCCGCCATTTGCAGAGGGCAATGGAGAGGATGACGAAGAGCAGCATGATGAAGAGGAGGACAATGGCACAGAAGAGGCCATTGCTGCTGACAGCCACTGGCTGGAATCTGTGAATGATGGTGTATAGGAGCCAGGGCAATGGGAGCCTGTGAGAGGAAAGCAGGGGAGGGTGGGAGAGATAGCAGGGGACTAGTCAGGTATGTTGAAGTGGGCACATGATGATGTATCTGTTATGTCAGGGCCAGGAGGCCTTGGGCATTGTTGGCCCAGGAAATCATATAGGAAGTTAGAGGAACTTTAAAAACCTTTATCTGTTTCCTGACCAAATTAGGGAGAACAGACAGAATTTGTTCTTTGTGGAACAACTTCTAAAACATGGCGGCTGTGGGTGACAATTTTATTGTTAGCGATTAAACATAAGGAAAAATATCAGATGCAGATGTAATTTTATTCAGAAAAATGATCATTTCAGTGTTATTTGAATAAAAAGTTGGGGATTGTTGACAATTTCTAACAATAAGGAACTAGTTAAATAGTGAGTTAAACCAAAGTAATGTTTTATGGCTATATAAAATCTCAAGCTTATAGTGATACAAAGAAATATGATATAACTTTAAATTTAGGCTTTATTTGCTTACTTCAGTTCTGTGGATTAAACCCAGGACCTTTTGTATGATTATAAATTTAAAATGAAAGGATGCACACAAAAATAGCCATGTAATTTCTTTCTTTCTCTCTCTTTTTTGTTTTTGAAGGTACTGGGGTGTGAACTTGGGACTTTATGCTTGAGAGCAGTTACTCTACCTCTGGAGCCACATCTCCAGCAAGTTATGTAACTTTGATCATATAAAATATACATATATTTAAAAAGGGTGGAGAGTTATCCTTGATCTTTATAAATAAGATTCTAAACCCTATACTGTATTCATTAATCTTTTGGGCAAAAGGAAAATGCTGTCAAGACAAAGTAGAAACATATTGCTAATGACAATATATTGACAATGACATCATAAATTGGTATAAACTCTTGGAAAAAAAGTTTCTGGCCTGGTGGAGTGACTCAAGTGGTAGAGCACCTGCCTAGCAAGTGTGAAGCCCTGAGTTCAAACCCCAGTATCACCAAAAAACAAACAAAAAAAGAGTAAAAAGAAGATTTTTGGAAAAGAAATATATAAAATACATCAGTATATACTGATATTTATATATCAGCATTTAAAATGCTTAAAATATTTAGTCCATTAATACTGCTTAAAGGAACTTAGTCTAATAAAATAATTAAAACAGGAAATTTTCTGAATAAAGATGCTTATGGAATACCCACAATAGCAGAAAATTGAAAAAAAAATTAAAAGATCCTATTAGAGAACAATAGTTAAACTGAAAAGCAACAGGAGGGAATATTTGAAGGCATAAAATATTAGTTATGAGAGCTACAAAAACACTTAAAAATGGTTCATATGATTTACTCACTTACTAGTAGATGCTAAGCATATATGCCTTTAAGATGGAAAAGATAAAAATATGTACCCACCAAGAGAACAAAACTGAATATTTACTAAGGAGACTATGAGATATTTGGAAGGGATTATAACAAGGAAATGTTTTGGGTAGTAGAATGAGGGGTGATTTTTCTTTAAATTTTCATTTGTTGTTTCATTTTATGTACAATTTAAGAACAATGAACAAAGAGCATCTTGCAATTTGCTAGAATATTTATTTTTTTAAAAACATGACAACTATGTCAAACCAAACACTTATAGTTCTTCTTGGCTTGTTGGATATTCTCTTTTCATACTATTGAACTCTCTCTCTGTTAAGTGATTGACCACGAAAACTATTCTAAATGTGTAAGTGGCATTGCTAACAAATACTGTTTCTCCTAGGTCAACTTCTTGTAAAAGAAACACCTGTCATGGTGTTCATTCATCCATTCATTCACCCTTTCAGCCATTCATTCCACACGCATTTGTCAGGCTGCTACCATGTACTAGGCAGTGTGAGGCCTTGATGAGCTCTTGCATTTGAGGAGTTCACAGACTAGCAGGCAGGTAGAACAATATCATGAATACCATATGATCTGGTGGACAAACTCACAAATGTAGGTAGTGTGCCACCTGAGGGGCCAGTTCTTCCCTGACACTCCTTTCTGGCCCAGTGAATGGAGCTTGATAGTAACCTTACTACAAGTATATAGATATACTTGTTTGTGCTTGACCTGTGGTTGTCCCAATCTACTTTAAAATCTAATCTTACCTGAGGTTGGTTAGGGTATTAATTAGAATATGGTAAAAAAATACTGAGAAACTACCTGAATAGAACTGCCTCAAGAGTGAATGTTTATAACAGATAGTGAATGTAGTTATATAAGCAAAATTATCTTATTTTCTGAAACATCCAAACTGTAGGCAGGTATGAGTTTCTGCCTGTCTAGGGATGAATGGTACTGCCTGTCTTACTTTTCTATTTGTATTGGCGAGTTTTAGCCTCGGAGATGCTGTCATATCATTAGTTTCTAGGAAGACAAGGATAGGGATGGAGTGATGTGCGTATGTACAAAACTATCTCTACTCACCCTACAGTGATGTCAAAGATGTTGCTTCCAACAGAGCTGGACACAGCCATGTCCCCCAACCCTTTCCGGGCCACTATGACACTGGTGATAAGGTCAGGGATGGAGGTCCCAGCAGCCAAGATGGTCAGACCCATAATCTCTTCACTAATGCCGATTGTCTCTCCAACCTACACGTCATGACAGAGGCAATGTGAATGGTGGAACTAACAAAACCACAGACATTTCAATGCAATCCCTTTTCAATGAGTTCCTCTGTGCTGTGTTGAGTGCTGAGATGATAAAGATGATTAAGTTACAATTATCACCCTTAAGGAGGTTATACTTTTATAACATCCAGACCCAATAGATCAGCAATGTTCCCTTGAGTAATAAACAGACAATCTCAAATAGCAAAGAGCCCCATGCGGTGTTTTCTAAGACTGAACCACGGAAGCTGCAAGATTAGAGTTAAAAAAAGCCAAGAGACCTTGGTACCCAGTTCAGCACCTGACAGTGGTATCAAGTCCTGAAGCAGATTTGCCTTTGAAGGTTAAGGAACGACACTCAGTGTCCCCATTTTCCTCAATATTTCCTATTGTCTATACCACTACTGAACATGTTCAGTTGCTACGATTTCCACAGGAAACTCAATTTTGGGTGTGTTCAGGTTTGGCATTGAAAACTGTGATTCAGCAAAGTGTCTATGGAGAAGTGACAGCAGAGAATCAGAGGGCCACGGGCTCCAGGGCTGGCTTGGGTAGTTGTTAGTACTTGACCTATTGCTAACTGTTCCATTGTGCAATATCTTTGGTCCTTGCTTTCTTGTCCACAAAATGGGGACAATAAACCTACCTTATGAGGTGGTTGTGGGAACTGAATGATAACCTGTGGAAAAGCCCTTTGTAAATAGTGCATCATTGCTGGAAAATGCCGGGTGTGTGGCTGCAGCACACTTCCTGTGGCTTTTAAGACAGATGAATTCTGCGTGGAGGATTGCTTTAGCCCCAGATGGAGGCTCCTCCATTCTCTTGAACAACTTGCTTGTCTTGTTTGAACTTTTAAAAAGCTTTACATATTTTCTGGAGTTGCTGAACTCCAGAAACATTTTAACTCTGAAACATTTTAAGATCATGTTTTCCAACAGCCTGATGACATCCAGAGTTTTTAATAATTTAAAGGGCCAAAGCAGTGTGTTAAGGAGAAAGGTTTTAGGGAATAAAAGCCACTTATTTCTAAATCTTTTTTTGTTTTATGTATAAGTAATATCTTGGTTCCTACTAACTTAAAAGCATAATTGGGAGCTGTTTTTCTTAGGATGGTCATGCCTGCTCATGAGTCCTGTCCTCCTGGTACATAGATTCACTGCTCTCATTCAAAAGCAGGCTCCACGCAAGCAAGATCCTTGCCGTGGCCACTGTTGTCGCTCATTCACAGAGTATAGCCTGGCTCATAGTAGGCTCTGAACACCTATTTGCTGAACAGACAAATCAATATGTATATGTAGGTGATTTTCCTAGGGAATAGTGAAATAGGGAGTACCCTATTTGAGCAAAGTATTCTCCTTGATGTCCTATTTTTTTTTTGTTAGATTTGGAGTGAAATGTTGTCAAAGGCTAAGAAGATGTTGACTAAGTGATAGTCACCCTAAGAAAGGTCTAATCTATGTAATTACTATTCTTAATAATTTAAACCCTTAGAGGAGCTGTAAAGCAATGACTCACAAACCGCTTATATTTGGAATCTGAATGTCTCTACAGACAGAGGAGTGCAGAAAACCAAACAGAAGAAGGACACTGGTATGGTTAAGGGCATTAGCTAGGGACACAGATTGTCCTGGGTGCAAGTCTTAGCCTGCCACACCAGTGTAAGGTGGCCACCTCCACTCTTAGTTTTTTCCATCTGTAAAGTAAGGGTGACAATATCTACTTAGGGTTGTGTGATAATTATATGTGATGATGCTTGTAAAGAAATTGCACAATTTAGGCATGAAGTAAATGACCAATAAATATCAGCTAATGTAATTCAGCTATTACTCCTTCTGCTCTCCAAACTATCGGACCACAGCAGTCAGGGTTCTGGGGAAAGAAGCTGGTTAGTGGGGTCAGTCTACAATGTGGGAAACCACAAAATAGTGAGACATTTTCATTAAGTATTGGCCACCTGATGTCTGTATGGCTGTAGAAATACTGCCACCAAAGGAGAATGAGTCTTTACAGGCTTGTTGGAGTATCTGACACTGAAGCTGACTTTTGATGGGAATGATGGAGGCTCAGGGATGGGCCTTCTGTAGAATTTCTGTCCCTTCTTTGAAAAGTTCAATAGTTTTAGTGTCTACATTTAGAACTAGGATTCATCTTGAGTTAATTTTTTGAGCATGGTATGAAGTAGGATCTAAGTTCATTTATTTTGGCATGTGGAAATCTAATTACTGTAGCACCATTTGTTAAAGAGTCTATCCACATATGTTCTGGATTTATATTTTCTTATTTCACATTGCTACATTTTATATATGTTAACAAGTGTAATAATTTTAGAGCTATATTAAACAAAGGCTATAAGTGGGCAGTTTGGAATTTATATAGTAAATAGTAAAGATTTAAAGCATGACTTTTGGAGTTGCAGAGACCTGGGGTAGATTCCTCGGTTCTGCTTCTTCCTGCTTATGAGATCTTGGGTAATTTTCTTAGAAGCTTTAAGATTAATTACTTTATCTGTGGATTGTAGGTAATAACAATACCTTCCACATAGAATTTGAACCTATATACAGGGTCAACATCAAGAATATAAAGACAGAAGTTTGTGAACTGTCCAGCATACAGTATATTCTCAATTAGTAATGGTCACTAGTCTGATATTTGAGAATGTGAAACGCTTTTCTTTCATTCAAGTTTTCCAACAACAATTACTGACATCATATCTTGGCATTATGACTGGTACTGAATTAAAAGTGGTAAAAATAAAGTGCACCATTATTTTTTATGAACTAAAGTTCAAGGAAGAGGCCATTTGGCCTCTAGGTCCTTTCCTGAGAGCCAGTTTTAAGAGGCTGGTGAGAGCCATGCTGAGTGACTTGCTGAAGATAAAGTAAGTGCCACAGAATCAGGCAAAACCTTGGTATTCCTCTCTGGCCCTGGGTTGACCTGGCCTTGGGCTTGCCTTCCTCCCCATGGCTGTCCAGTAGCCCTGCTGTTTTGATTTCTGGCCATAGGGAAAGGCCTGGAGTCTAGGGAAAGCTCAGTGCTGTATGTAACTTGTATACATCACACTCAATATAGTTGTGACAATTTGAGAAAGCAAACACATTAGCTAACCACTTGGCAACCAAGACTAGAGAAAAGCCAGACAGATAGTGCTACTACCAAGGACTTACCTGGTGTGCCCACCAGACCATTAAGTAAGAGAATACTGCAATCCAAGTGATGGCGCCAAAGAATGTGATGGGAAAAAACTTCCTGGATGACTGAAAGATAATCAGAACAGGTGAATGCCTGTGATATCAACTGCAATGTGTCTCACTGCCCAAAGCTAAACTACCTAGGCCACTGTTTCTGCCTGATTCCTGGTAGGGTTAGCAAGCTAAAGGTCCTGTCCACCCCTAATCAAACTGGGACAGTAAAATTCCCTCTTGGAGCCATGAAATTGGTGGTTGCTGAATGATCACAGCGCTGGTTCCCGGGCTGGACATCTCTTAAAAAGAATGTCTGTTAGTTCCTATACCTAGATGCACAGATGCCTTCTGCTCCTGCCCTTTCTAAGGCCTGGATTCTCAGCCTTTTCTATCTGTAAACTACATTCTATCTGTAAAAATATTGTTTCATCCCCCCTCCCCTTTTTGTGGTACTGAGGCTTGAACTCATTGCCTCATGTTGCTAGGCAGGCACTCTACCACTTGTGCCACTCCACTAGTCCCTCCCTTTTCTTTTACACCCAAGTTCATGAGAATTAGTTTCTACTGTTTGCAAACTATATATCCTAATAATTCATTTGCCCCAAATCCTATGTGATTGACTACATTAAACATTAAACAGGAAATAGGATGAGTTAGTAGGTTTAAAAATAGATCAGTTCATCTTATAGTCCCATGAATGTATCAGGAAAGTCACATGAAAAGCCTCTGTAGCCTGCTTGTGATGTCTAGTCTCCAGAATATTGTAACCACATGTGTCAGCTAGGGTGGGCAGAGCGGGAGAGTTTCCATCAGGATACTCTCCACTGGGGAGGTAGGCAGGTCAGACATTGTTTGTTTTCTCTCCTCTTCTCAATCCTAAACTGTATCATGTCCAGTTCTGCTTCTAGCACTACACTTTGTACAGTCTCAGTTTGTATACAGCGTGAGTGTCAGCCAAAAATCATACCATTCTGGCTTTTTCTTTTTTGGGAGGGGGACTAGTGTTTGAACTCAGGCCTTCATGCTTGAAAAGCAGGTGCTCTACCACTTGAGCCACACCTCCAGTCCTCAGCCAAAAATCAGACATTTAAAATGCAGTTTTATACCTGACCCCATTCCAGAGAACTCTAGGTGGAATTGAACTGGGAATTCTACTGATATCCTTTGTGGAAAACTTGGGATATCTTAAAACATGCTCAGGCAGCAGAATGCCGTCAGAGAGTCTCTCACCTACTAATGCCAAACACTTTTTATCTCCAAGCTTGCATGTTGAGAAAGAACCCCACTTTTTGCTTTGACAATGACATCCAGTTTTGTCCAGAGAAATGAATCCTAGACTTGACCTGGATGAAGACAATCTCAGTTATCCGAAAGGAATGACCTGGGGCAGTCACACAGAACCCTTTGTGTCATGAAGAAAAGATATTTTGGGTCTCTACAGTATAATGATGAGCACAGATGGTATTGATCCAAACCAAGCTTGTGTTCTCTTTGCTGATTTCAAGTTTTCAAGAATGTTTTTATTATCCTTCACACAGTCCTTAAATTTTACAATAATCTTTTCTCTTTAAATGCCTGATGCTTTTTTGGGCCATTCATTAGCTGGGATTTCTGAGAGACCAAACTGGCTGGATTAAATTGGGACCAGACCTCAGGTCACAGTAAATAGCCAAAATCTTACTCTTGTTTTATTTATATTTATTTTTAAAAAAATCTTACTCTTAATGCTTCCACATGCTCCTTCCTCTTATAGAAAATGTTTTGGACAAGTTCTCAGTTCTTTCCCAGGGAGTGAGCACTTCCATAGGTAATGGCAAAAATGTGACTTATTTTTCAAAGCGGAGACTCAGATTGTCATTCTCCTTCCTTTTCCTCTCCTTCCTTCTCCCATTCTTCTTTTTTTCCTTCTCTTCTTCCTCCTCCTGCTCTCTTCCCCCTTCTGTTCTCTTCTTCCTCCCCCTTCCTCTTCCTCCTCTTCTAAGTTATTTTGGAGATCTCATGAACTATTTGCCTAAGCTGGCCTCAAACCATGATCCTCCTGATCTCAGCCTCTCAAGTAGCTAGCATTACATGCGTGAGCCACCGGCACCCAGATGAAAATAAGTTTCTTTAAAGCTGGGAATTCAGCTGGATTCTGGAGATCAGATTCCCCGAGCTAGTGCTCAGAGATCAAGTTTTCCCAGGTAAGATATTTAGCTGATTATATTTCTGGTCTTTTCCTTTACTCATGACTCATTGTTTCAGCATCTGAAGCGCAATGAGCATTTCAATCTTTCAGATTCCTGCCCTGCTATAGGGAAAGGAAGATCCCTCTTGCCCTATGAGGCTGTGAATGATTTCAGCATGACCTACTTCTTGATTCTGAGCATTACACAAGGGAATGGAGAACTTCTCCTGACTTTATGGTGTGGCATCTGTCCTGGGAGAGTCTTGTTTCATGGATGGCTCACTTTCCAGGTTATTTCATTTACTAAATGTGTATTTTTTTTTTTTGAAGCAAGGTCTTGCTATATCTTCCAGGCTGGTCTTGAACTTGTAATTATTCTACCTCAGTCTCCCTAGTGTTTGGATTATAGGTATGTGACACCATGCCTGGCTCACATGTCTGTTCACTGAAGTGACTTTATAAATCAAAATCAAATAACTTAAACTTATTTCTCATCTGAAATATATCATCACTGAACCATAGAACATTCCCAGCCATAAGATAGAAAGCAAAGTATCAGACTAAGAATTTAAAGGAAGAAATTCAGATCAATTTATTAGTGAAAATCTACCTAATTCAACATTTGGTGCTTAATTAAAAAAACCAATTAATAATTAGTGGGCACCCAAAGTCCCTAATGCGGCATCAGGTACTCATTAAAAAAAAAGGTTAAAAATAAAATTTCTTTGTGAATTTTTAGGGTCTCTATCATAAACTAGGGACAGGGAAAGGCTGGGCACTTACTCTATAGCCAGATCTTGAACTAGAGATGAAATTCAAACTCAGGTCTGCTTGAGTGCATGGCATTGCTACTAACATGTGTGTTGCACATGCTCTCTCTGAAGGAAACCAGGGCAATAATGCTGAAAACACACCAGCCGTACACATAATGATAGTCATCAACATCATACGAGGCTCTGCTCTGAATGTCAGAAAATTAAAAAAGCATCAGGGAAACAGAGACTAGCCTTCCAGCTGTATGGCCATCTGCTTCCCCCACCTCCCATCTTGTTTCTGCTTCAGATTTCAGCCCTCATGCATGGTGGTTTGGCTAAGGGTTTCCCTGTCAAACTACCTTTCCATGCCCAAGCTCACAACCCAGCCAATCCCTTCTTTCATTTTTGTCTGGCCACTCCCCTATGTGGACTCCATGGTTTCATTCCAGATACTACTGCCCTGTTGCACCTGGACAGTTATTTAGTCACCAGTCTCATAGGAAGGGAAAAAATAGCCCTTGAAGCCAAGGTCTAACACATCAATTTGTGGTCAGGAATGGTGGCTCATCCTGACATCTGTTGGGACAGCCCTTGTACTAATTAGCAAATGATCAAATTGTGTCCATGTGCTGTCTATTTTGTTTCCAAGGTAATGGTTTACTTATACAATTGTCAGCTAATGTTCTCATTAAAAGCTTTTACTACATCAGAGTGATATTGGCTTAGCTTGAGAAAAAGTTGCTGGACACTATGCTGCACAAATTGGCTACATCCTTACTGATTTAAATCCGACACACAGGCATTGAGCATCTGGTTTGTGCAAGGTTCTGAAGTACACATTTTCTTTGTGGGGAGATTGAGAAGTCTTGCTATATTGCCCAGGCTGGCCTCAAACTCACGATCCTCCTACCTTAGCCTCCTGAGCAGCTGGGATTATAGACTGGTGCCACCCACCCAACTTAAGTATACATATGTAGTAAAGTTCCTCACAACAATTCTATTAAGAATAAAAGTGGGGTCTCTGAGTTAATATGACTAGTACTGAAATTTCTGTTTATAAGTTACCAATGATCTTCTCTTAGGAAAATCATTTAATCTCTTTAAGCTTTGATTTCTTCATCTATAAAATGGAGGAAATATCAAAACCTAGTTCTGAAGAGTTCATGTGCATAAACATAGAGTAAGTGCCTGGCATATATTAAGTATTCATGTAATTATTGTAGTTGTTATTATACAATGCTATCCTCATTTTTTTTTTTTAAAGTACTGGGATTGAACTCAGGGCTTTGCACTTTCTAGGCAGGTTCTCTCTTGCTTGAGCCATGCCCTCTGCCCTTTTGGCTTTGGTTATTTTTGAGATAGGGTCTTGCTTTATGCCTGGGATGCCTGGACCATGATTCTCCTAGTTATGGTTCCTGTGTAGTTGGGATGACAGTTGCACACCACCACACCTGGCTTCCTATTGATTCGGATGGGATCTCAAGCACTCTTTGCCCAGGCTGGCCTTGAACTGTGATCCTCCTGGTCTCTTCCTCCTGGGTAGCTAGAATTACGGGCACCCCTGTATTAGGTTTTAAGAGATGAGGAAACTGACACTTTGGCAGGGGGAGGCGGGGTAGAGGAGGATGAAAGTGAGTGTGGAGACCTGGTCAGGAGTCCTGGTTTGCCTCTGATTAGCTGAGTGTGATAGACAAGCCACCAAACGTCTCTGGGTCTCAGTCATTTCATTCTTGCTATAATTATGCTTGACTTCTAATAGGCACTCAATAAATACTTAGTGAATGAAAAAAATAATAGGAATCACATACACCTACCTGGGTTCTTGGGTTCTTTTTTAGATCTAATGGGTCATGTTTTCATATCTGTTTTGTAAGAACACCTATCCTAAGTCATGTGAGAAGATAACTTTGGGGTATTTATTTTGTTTCTATTTTCATCAGCATGTTCTTTATTTGGGTCTCCATTTTAGTTCTTTAATTTTAAAACAAAGCCATTAATTTAAGAAATCTACAAATGTGAAGCTCATGTTAATTATCTGAGCAGAACGTATATGTGATTCAATAAACACTGCCATATAATTTGCATGTAAATGAAGTAGAAATAAAAACAAGTGGGAGTACTATTTACTCTGAAACTGGAAGCATACAATCAAGATTCTCTGTAATTATTGGTAAGGTTTTGGGTGCTTGTCTCCACAAGTGATTAATAAAACCACTGAAGAGACAGAGCTTTCAGGCCCTAAGGAGAAGCAAATATCTTATTTAATAATTTTCTCTAGTTGATTTCTTCTCCCTAGATCTTTCTTTTCGATTCTTTCTTTCCTTTCTTTTCTTTTCTCCTCCTTTTTCTTTTGTGATGATGCTAAGGTTTGAACTCAGAGCTTTGCACTTGCTAGGTAGGTATTACTTGAGCCATGCTCTTTTTGCCATTCACTTATTTTTCAGATAGGGTCTCACTTTTGCCTGGGGCTGGTCTCAGTCTGTGATCCTCTTATCTCTGCCTCCCATGTAGCTGAGATTTCTGGAGTGCACCACCATACCCAATGTTCCTGAATATTTTTTCAAGAGGACTTTGTGGAAGTACGTGAGGCCTATGATAGGACTGCAAAAATGGCCACAATAAGAGGCAAGGTTTATTTTCCCATCCTTTAAATATGGGCTGGCTTTATGACTTGCTTTGATCAAAAGAAAGGCTAGAAATGACACAGAGAAAATGCCAAACTAGATCTCAAGAGGGCTTTGCAACCTTTATTCTGTCTGCTCTTGGCACTTTGCCATCTCCTAAATTCAGGCTGGCTTGCTTAAGGATTCAAGACCATGTGGGGTTGGCTAGTGGCTCAAGTGGCAAACACCTCCCTGGCAAGCACAAGGCCCTGAGTTCAACCCCAGTGCCAAAAAAAAAAAGAGACTACATGGAACATAGGAAGACTATTCCTACTGAGCTATCCATATGCTAACCACCCCTGGCAGAAGAACTGGCCAGTTGAGCCTAGTCTAAACTGCTAATTCACATAATTATGACTAAAAAATGCTTGTGTTAGGCTACCAAGGTTGGGGTGATATGTTACATAGCAAAAGATAACTGATGCAGATTAAATCTAATAAAAATTTTCTGTACTAAGCATGATCAAGAAATGTCTTTATGGTTCACATATCTACTGGCAGAAGCTCTCTCTCTCTCTCTTTCAATATATATATATGTATGTATGTATGTGTACATATTATATATGTAAGGATGCCCACATAATTTGAGCAGATTAACTTCTTGGTGCCTAGGTTTCTTTCTACTTTTATCTATGTAAGTATAGATATTGATGTACAGATATAGATATTCCTACTCTAGATGTTTCTTGAGATTCCACAATATAGTTTGCTGAAAACACCCAGTGCAGATTTTGATACATGGTAGACACATATTTCTGTTGAGTCAGTGTGTGTGGGTGTGTGTGCTGCTATCACAAAAAGCAGAGCTGTTCCTCCTTTTCCTTTCATTAGCTCTTTTACCTCTAGGACAAGAACTGATGTCTCAAGAACCAGTTCAACAACACTAGGAAGGATATACTCTTGGTTGGTCTACACTCAGATTGTATTTTGCTGATTGTAGAATGGTATTGTGCTCACAGTACAAGTACATATTGTTAAGTATTATCTATCTAACAAAGGTAGACAATAATATTGATTATGTTATTAATAACTCAGGAGGGCAAATATCAGACATGTAGGTGTTTACACTACACAGTGCTTTTCTTTAAATTACCTTTGAGTCAAATGAATAAGCCATGTATATAGCCAAAACAAAATTCAATAAGGAGATAGTTGTCCTCTGGCCTAGATTTTTAGTTGCCCTTCTCAGAGATAATCACTGGGGTGGTTATAAAATGTGATTGCAAGTTTGTGGACACGCTTTCCCATGAATAGAGTCATATGTTATATGACATTGATGTATTCTAGGTCAACTTTTTTTCTTCTTCCTTTTAATTAAAGCAGGTTTATGCTGCCCAGGTGCCAGATGATGGTTGTCCCCAGCTGTGAGTCACCCTCAGCCCCTCAAGTCTTCTCAGCTGAGGCCCCAAACATTGGAGCAGAGAGATAAGCCATTCCCAATGTGTCCTACTCCAATCCTTGGTCCGCAGGATCTATGAGCAGAATAAAACGTGCTTGGGTGGTTTGTTCTGCAGGTTTCATAACTGAAGCAATCACTGTGTGTCTGTTCAAAGAAGTTTCAGGCATACATAGGAATACATGTGTATTCTCGTTACCCCTCTTTTTCCTTTTAACAGGAATAGAAGAAGACTTTGCTACGTACACTGCTTTTTACAGGGGACCTATTTAAAAATTGCTTTACTCACGGGTTTGCGAACATCAGGTAAGGTCATCCAGAGAGGAAACACTAAGGGAAATACAATCAGGAATGTGACCTGCTTTCGGGCATTGGAAGGCCAGGCCAGGCTGAGGGGTTGGTCCTCCTCCCCCTCAGCTGTTTCTGTGGCTTGCTGTAGAAGGAGATAAAACACAAACTTAGAAATGAAGAGAGTGACTCAGGTCACAACAGCAAGACCACAAAGCAAGGAGGGAAGCCCCATATCCACATGTGCTTTTCAGTTTTGTAAGAAAACCCCATCGGCCACCTGGGCCTGAGCTTAGGAACAAACAGTAGATTGCCAAGCCATGGGCACTAGGAACTTTCTTTTCTTTGCTTCAATACCTTGCATCTTCTCATTTTCATCAACTGAGTATTCAGCACTGCCTACAGCTATTGCTCATGACTTTTCATGAGGAACTGTCTGTAGACCAACAGACTGATGACCCATCTCCCCTCTTCCTTCTCCCTGAGGACTGAGCCACGGGATTCAGAATCCTTGGAAGAGCACTAGTAAAAATTAAAATTCCTTCTTCCCTCTCTTTCTCTCTCTCTTCTTCCTTTCTTCCCTCTGTCTCTGCTTCCTCTTCCTTCTTTCCTTCCCTTTCCTTCTTTCTTTCCCTTTCCTTCTTTCTTCTCCTCCCTTCCTCTGTCTTTTTCTTTCCTTGCACTGATTTTCAGTAGGCAAATGAAAGTTGCTGCAGAAATAATTCAGTAATAATCCAGAGAGGGATTAACTCCCTCCCACTGGCCCAAGAATAAACTCAACAATTTTTGCATGAGTGCGTGTTTCTAACTTGCCTCAGTGAATCCTGAACTATTTCACTTGCAGTCAAAGGTTTATTATGCAACATATGCCTCAGGATTCAGAGAAACAGAGGGCAGAAGTAGAGCAAGGCTCTGACCTGTGGCAGGGCCTTAGAGCCAGGGCATAAACTACAGAGTCTAATCTGGCAGCCAGTGTTTTGGTCACTGGCACTACAGTCAGCAGCTCTGAAGTCCCCCAGCCAGGGGAGACAAAAGGCAGACCTGGACCCAGCAGGATGACCATTAGCCCATCAGATGGGCCCTCAGAGCTCCAAACCATGCACTGAAGACACCATCAATCACTGCCTTCCCTGCTTGTTTAAAAATGAAAGTACAGCAGCAGGACCAAGCATCAGATCTAAAAATATCAACAGAACTTTCCACCAGAGCTTCCTTCCCACACCACAGAAAGAGCCTCACAGACTTCAGAGCTCCTGCCTGCTGTGGCTCTGGCTTTAGTGGCAGTGACCCCTCCAGCATCTGTGTCCCTAAGGGGTGGAAGGTGGGTCAGGCTCAGGCCAGATGGCCCAGGGAGTAAAGGACTCAGCTAGAGGTCAGGGCTGGTGTGAGCTGGATTCACAGCAGTGCTGCTTTGCATCTATTTATTTGGCAAACCCCAGGGACTGATGAAGGGTTTGTAGTGGCTCAAACAGTCATCCATACTTCAACCCTCTCCAGGAGTTAAGATAAAAAACAAAATAATAAAGGAATTGGAAGCCATATTGAAATGGCTGGAAAGAACAGACTTTTCTGCTTTGGGTATGTGTCCTTGGCTGTGGGCAAGTCTGTAAAGAGCAAATAGCAGTAGTCTAGTAGAATAAGAAGTTGGCAAGTGCATTTTGGTCATTTGGATTCTTACTAAATACATGCCTCATACCTTCTATCCCTTCTGTAATGGCTGTCTTCGCTCTATCACCAGGGCTCCCATCCCTGATGGAAGCTGGGGTATGCTGGCTCAGGTCCCTGTTCTAAGCCACCTCCAACTCCTCCAACCATTCCTTATGAACTCACTCACCTTCCAAGGTATCAGCTGGCTACAAGAATAATCTGTGTGTCAATGAGGGTTAAGGAGACAGGTGCATTTTAACTGTCCCCTCCCAGGTATGGCATGGGGGATAAAGCCACTTTGTTCTTTAACTTAAATAAATGACTGCCTCCTCACCTGGTAGATACCCAGAAGTGAGTATGGGACAGTTGACATGCTGCACTGTTTTTTTTAAAATTGATTTATTTATTGAGACAGAGTCTTACTGTGTATCCCTGACAGGCCTTGAACTCCAAAATGCTTGGATTAGAGGCATATGCCCCCATGACTGGCTCCTGCATCATTCTTAATAAGTACCCCATCTCATGTAAGACTGGTGCCTTTATCCCAGCAGAGGACAGACTTCCCCCAAGTCTCGTCATCATCACCTGATAAGTTTATCAAGCTCCTTCTACTTCTTGGGTGGCCTCCCCACTCCTCTGTCCCCCACTGCCATCCATAATCTAGCAACATCTCTCAAGCTCCAAGCTAACCTTTTTTTTGAGGAAAAAAACCCAACTCTTTATGACTCATATCATTTTAATGACATCAACAGATGGTGACATTTCATCAATAACCCTTCTGCTTATAACCTACGGATTAGCTCCTTTCTCCATCTGCCAAAGTCACCAGGCAGGCAGTGCCACTAGCAAATAGCAAAAAATAATTGTCTGTTTAGATGCATAAGCTCTAAACACATTACTGTCCAATGCAAACAATTAGCTATATTGTGTGCCTTCCAAAGGCTGCATTTGAGGTGGCTGTCACTAGGGCAGAAATGGACTAGGAGAAGAGACTGTGTCTCAGGCCATGGGAGGGCTCTCTGTGGGGACTCCCTAGCCTCTTGGGGGGTCAAGTACTGCTTCAGAGAATGGGGTGGATGTGAGAAGTTCCCCAAGAGCAAGGCTGTCAGCAGACTGTAGGAAAATTCTCTTTGTCTTCTTGCCAAGTGCTGGCTCCATGGGTGACAGCTGGCCAGATGGTTAGAGAAGAGGCAGAAGAAAATACAGTTGTAAGTTTGGGGCCCACTTTGCCTTTGCTCATTCTGAGGATCCCAGTGAGTTCATTACTCTCAGTACCTGGAAAGAGACCACTGAGGTCAGTGGAATGATTTGCCAACTTTTCCTGGAGTCATGGCACATCGACTTTGACCTTGCAATGATCCATTTTTACCTCCTAATGCTTTTGCAGAGTGTCTACAGAAAATGGCACAGAGTAAAGCAATCCAGAAAAAATTCAAACGACCCTTCTCCCCCCCCAACTTTTTTTTGAGACGGGTCTCAATATGTAACTCAGGTTAGTCTCCAACTCAAGATCCTCCTGCCTTAGCCTCCCAAGTGCTGGGATTACAGGTGTGCATCTTTACACAGACTCAAATGACTTTTGATATAAGTTTTAAATTTTATCTATTTATTTTTGCAGTACTGGAGTTTGAACTCAGGGTTTTGTTCTTGTTAGGCAGGTGCTCCACTGTTTGAGCCACACCTCCAGCTCAGGTTTTAAAATAGTTTGATACCAGGAGGATCTTTGTTGGTGAGGGGGTGTCTCTGTAGGAGCCCTAGAATTATGCAAAATGGGAACCAGCAATTACTGCTTTAAGACCTTGTAGTATCTGAAATGAAAAAAATCTGAGATGAAAACACATGACTCTAGCTTCCCATGTGGTGGGTGGTGCAAGGGTTGTCAGACCTTACAGCAGGATGGGAGGAGCAGATGGCAGAGATTGGGGAGTCCTGAGCTCCAGTTTCTGCTCAGGCTGATTCTTTGGGCAGCTACCCTCATTGCCTGCTGGCTTCCCTGAGCACCTTTATCTGTGAAGCCATGCCCCCAATTTTAGGACTCTTGCCCTCAGGAAGATACATTTCAAAGGGGAGATGAAACAGATAATTCCAAAGAATGGGTTATCCATTTATGGGGATATCTATTCTGCCTGTTATGAACTGAATTCAAATTTATATATTGAAGTTCTAACCCCCAATACCTCAGAATGTAATCTATTTGGAGACAGAGTCTTAAAGAGGTAGTTAAATTAAGATGAGGCCTTTAAGGTGGGTTAGGACCAATGTGATTGGTGTCCATATAAGAAGAGGAGATTAAGGCACAGAGACACATCAGGGGTGTATGTGTATGGAGGAAAGGTCACATAAAGAAGAGAACACAGCCAGAAAATGACCATCTTCAAGTCAAGAATTAATACCTTGACTTTGGACTTTGTGCCTCTAGACTCTGAGAAAATAAATTTGTATTGTTGAGAACACACAGCCTGTGATATTTTGTGATGACAGCCTGAGCAAACAATATACTGACCCTCTGCTGAGTCAACAGAAGGCCCATTTTTATGTAGGCATGGAAGAAAGATTATTTTTCAGGCTTCTGTGGGGCAAGGTGTGGCCACGTGATTAAGTCTGGCCAATGCTATGTAAGCTGATGTATCCTCCATTGCTGCCTAAATGCATCTTTGAAAGGTGAGGGTATATCCGTCCTTCCTCATTCCTATGGGCTGCAATGGAGACATTTTGGCCTGCATATGAACAACCATCTCCCCAGTGAGAAGAGGAGGAGCCACTATGTTCTGAAGGGAGGAAGAACTTCACTTCCAGCACGAAGCAAACCCCAACTGAGCTGTGCTCAAGGAAGACCCAGGAAGTCCTCTGAGGCTACTTCTGCTCTGGCTTTGTTTTGTAACAAATTCAGTCTATTTTTTAAAGCTCCAATAGCAAACACTAAGCATTTAACTGATAAAACATTTCTTGATTTTTCTTGAGCCTAAAACTAACTTTTGGTGGTTTGGATGGCTCACATTTCTTTAAAAAGCTAGCAGGAGACACCTGAATATTGCATTCTTTTCTTTCCCCAGCATCATGTAACATCCACTGAAGCATTGAAGGGATATGAAGGGCAGATTTTGGGTGTGGGTAGGAGGAGCTCTCTCCTTGAGTGACATCTCCAAGTACACATTTAAGAATGAAATGCAGGCACTGAGGAGATACCAATGATTATCTCAAACACAGGTTAAGGAGAAAGATTTGTTCTTTAAGCATCTGGACCCCAGAAAACAGTGCAGGTTGCTGTAAGAGAAGGTGGTAAAGCCTTTTGGTGAGGCCAAAATGAGAGCGTGAGATTTTATGTGTACTTCATTGCTTGATGTCACCCTGGATTCCCGTAACTGTGGATAATCCCATTCTGGCTACTTCTAAAATGGATACCGAGGGGGCATTGTAGAAGATGGATGAAGTCGTTTACAATAATAAACCTTTCTGGGACTAACTTTAGCAGGAGCTGAAATAGGAGATGGGTTATTT